CCATTGGGGACTGAGGGCAAAGTATTAATTGCTGTATTCATGGGAGGTTGTGGCCAGGTACTGCACGAGAATGGCAAATCCTGCTGTAGTGTGGGAGTGCATAACCAGCAGCAGGTCAACCGTGAGGCCGGAACCCAGATTTCTTCTTTTGATGATTCCTTCAGTGTCAATTTTAAGTAAATATACAATTGGGAACGGGCCGAATTCAAACCAATTTTTTTTCATCCTATGGTTGTCTGTAACGCTATCTCTAAGTAGGGGGTTCTATGACAATTTCTTACCACTGTTGAACCACCAGACAGCCTATAAGCTCTCAACTTCACTTGACTCGTAGCTCGCCTGGTCTTCTTTTATTAACTGTATGGAACTCCATTCTCCTTTTTTTTAAAACGCCCGGCGTGGTTTCGAACTTCTGATCTTGCGAGCTTAGCCCGACTTTGTGGCCTGGATGACCCTCCTCACGAGTTTATTCTCTGTTCACTTCTCTTGCTCAATTTCGACATTGTTAGCTTCAAGTGGTGTCCTCAATGTTGGAGTTTTGCTGATTTCGAGTTCTCCCACTCCTTCTTTGACGTTTCCCCTCAACTTACGAGTTGCGCACTCCTGTTTTGCGAACTAATCGGCTACTTCTAAGTGATTGTTACGTTTAGCATATACGTCGCGGGTGGTTGGGATGCATGTATATTAGGCGCGAAAAGTTTGTAACAGCTAAAGAATAGACAGGCGCTGCCTTTTAAGGATGTATGCTGTTTTCTTGGAGTCCTGGAGTAGTAATTAAAACTCTGGTAAATAGATATAAAAGCCGACAGTAGCCCTCTGTCGGGAGTCAGATATACGGACTAGTAATTACATGTACGGTTAGCCTGAAAACGTAAATAGTGAATGAAACGGTAAGGCGCGAATAATTTCTTGTTCTAGAAATCTGCGAAAAGCAAGAAATTTTGTACGAAAGTAGTGACGTGTTCGCATCACTCACCGAAAACGTCAGCTTGAATTGCTAGACCCCGACGACTCTCAGCACAATACTCAAACACGACGATAAGTCCACGCGACACGTTCCGTCGGCGGCTCAATGGTAGAATACTCACCTGCCTCAATATTGTGCAGTCTTAATTCCCCTTCTTACGAACATACAAGTTTTGTTTTTGTTTAAGTGGCAACTTCGTAGATTACTTGGGGAAGACGGCCACAAAAAATTTTACAGGGATCCTGTGCGCCATACACTTACTGACTTACGTTTTGTACGTGCCTCCTCTTTCTTTTTTGCTCTTCGCTGTTCTAAGCTTTCAACCACACCGTGTCTTTCCCGAGTGTAGCACAGGGTGCACGTCATTCTAAGCTTGTTAACACCCTTCCTTTCATACATGTTCGGCTTTTGACGCAGCTTATGTATAGCTTATGCTCCGACGTAGCGTCGGAACTCACGTCAGTGTAGAGAACAGTTTTACTAAAATTAATGGCACACGAAGATGTTGATACTCATGCGACGACAGAAAATAGCGCAAAGAAACGGAGACACAAGACGCCTGTGCCGTGTGTCTGTGCCGTGTGTCCTCATCTTGTGTCCCCGTTTCTTTGCGCTATTTCCTGTCGTCACAATGCACCAACAAGCCCAAATTTCGACAGTGTTGATACTCATGCGATACGCCACGTAAATTCACGCACTTCTGCGGAGATTAACAAAGCTCGATTATTATTCCCGAAGTCGTAGGAACGTAATACGCATTTATGGGTACATTTTTACGGGAACGAATAACCAAGCACTGTAAGCACAATCAAATTTATAGTGAAATCAGTAAACTTACTGTTAGGAAAGCGTAAGTACATCAATACATGCAGTAAAGTTATTCACAATACACCACGTGCCTATTATACCTTAGGGCCGATAGGGAAATACGTGAAATATAACGTCCCAAAACCAGCATATAATAAAAAGACACGGCATTGTGGGTGGCTCCAGAAATTTTGACCAGCTGGGGTTCTTTAAGATGCAGCCAAGTCTGAGCACACAAGCCTACAGCATTTTCGCCTCCATTGAAAAATGCAGCTGGGATTCGATCCCCCGACCTGCGGGTCAGCAGCCGAATACCCTAGCCACTACAACTACGCGGCGAGGCAGCTGCACGTTTGTCAGGGTTCGCACGTTTGTCAGGGTTCGTCCACCACATTAAATTCTTGAACTTCAAGAAACAGCATGATTCCTATTACGTAAGCCATAAGAGATTACGCACCGGGATAGCCTTGCACCAGAGGCGTAGCCAAGGGGAGGAGGGATGGGGGTTCAAACCACCTGAAATTTGTCTTTTTTGCGCCTATATAAACAAACACATAAAAATGCTCGCGGGAACATACATATAATAAAGTACAGCAGAACCCTCCACCCCCCTGAAAGAAATTTCTAAGGTACAGGTGTAGCGCCCATGGGTTTACAGTGGCGCTTCCCCATTGGTGTCCCGCATAGCGCCACCAGTGACGACATGTTATCTCAAAACACCGTATGCTTCAGAGAGCCAGCGTGACTGCCAACATTGTGACTCGCTCGATGGATTTCGTGCCGACTGGTTGTGGCCCCGCGATCTCCAATGACAGCGCAGCTCTGGCCAACTAGACTCGCCCTACGCCAGCCCCCGACACTGACAAGGGGAAGGAAAATAGGAGGAAAAGAATGGCAGGCAGGTTAACTAGCCTTTGGGCAGCCGGTTTGCTACCCTGCGCATAGGAGGGGGATGCGGGAGATGAAAGAGCAGAGAGGGAAAAGAGATAAACACAGCACATTCGTCAGCACACGCGCGCACACTCAGTCATAGTTCAGTCTTGTCTTTCACAGTGTTACATTGCTGTTACAGCCGCTTGTTCAAATCCGTGTCGCGTAGAAATTTCAACACAGCTTTTGTTGCCTTATGTTGCAATGTCTTTTCTCGGGCACTTGACAGAATAGTGTCCACAGACATTTGGCTGTTGTCGATGCGCGCAAGAACGGACGCCAGTGACTGTCTCTGGATGTCATACAACGGACAGTCGCACAGGATGTGGTGTAGCGCCGACAAGAGCTGCCACTGAGTATTGTGCCCTGTCCTCAGACTCCATCCTTCCTATCTTCTCCTTACTTCCATATGTCGTCTCTCTGTCCCTGCACCACTCTCTTTCTCTAGAGTTTTACTTATATCCTTTTAATCCCTCCTTACCCCTATCCGTCGCGAGCTACCGTTGAGGTGTCGCACTGTGATGCAGACAGTTACGGGGCTCCCTTTTTTTCTTTTCTCTCTTTTAAGCGTCACTTATGCCAATATTGTGAACACGAAGAGTTCGAAGCGCCACCTCACGTATCTATAATTTCTTCATATAATTTCCGCCAAGAAGCACTGCATGAGGGGCTACTCTCTCTTATGGGCACGAAGCACATCCGAAGGCAGGCGATCGGAGAGAGCAGGAAAGGGCTAGAGGAGGGGGTGGTGAACAGCTGGATCGGGCGCATCTGGCTGGCATTGATGAAATAGAGGAGGCGTTGGTAACACTAACTGCTGCTGACTAACCATGTTCCGGGCTGTACGAGAAGAGCATGCGCGCACGTTTTCTTGCCGCTGCCGAATCCGGCGACAAATCACCCGCGCTGGCAGTGTCTATCCGCAACATCTAGCTAGGCCGCGCAAGCGTCACGCCCAAACTTGAGCTTAAGTTCCGTACATGTGTACGTTAAGAAAATTCCGGTCGTCAAGTATAATCCGGCGTCCCCCACTAGGGCGTGGCTCATAATTATATCTTGACATCGTCTTTATAGTATATATGCGCATCAACTCACCGAAAGATACGCTGACTTTCGATAAAACTGTCGTTTGCATAAAGTAGACGGTCAAGTTATGTCGACAAGCTACCTTTTATATGAAAATGCATTAAATGTGCTAGTAGGTCGGCGGTATCTATACGCACCATAATTCGCGCAAAGACGTCAATTCACTTCTCGTAACGCTTGCTTCAAAATGGTTGATTGGGCGAGTTGGCGATTCATGATTATTGAGAATAGGAGCGCGATACGTAAACGCAGACAGGATAAACAGGGACAAGCGCCAACTACCAACTGAAAATGCAATCGCAAAGCTGTGAAATATATACTGACAGGTGACAAATTCTGAAGTCACATGCAACGAGACCAAATCACAAATCAAAATAACAAACCGATAAAATATCTTCTTATATCAGCCTCGCCTTGCCAACGCCCTTTTCGCCTAAAGCGATTACCTAACTACTCCTATTGCATCTGTGACTGTCTAAAAACGCTAGCTCTCTGTCAGACAGAGCATATATATATATATATATATATATATATATATATATATATATATATATATATATATATATATTCAATATAAACTTCACAGCTTTCTGATTAAACTTTCAGTAGGTAGTAAGCGCTTGTTCCTGTCTATCCTGTCCGCGTCTACACATCGCACCTTTATTTCAAACAAACGGGTTTCAAAGCCTAAAATGTGGCATAAACAGCTGCTCACAAATTTTTTCACATGGATTTGATCTCTCCGTTGCATAATATTTACGGGATATTATGCCTACGCTGAGACTTAGGACGTCTGTACCAGCCTTGTGAATATACGCGCATCTACCCTGCACAGATTAAAGGTCATTTTACTGTCTGCCAAACCAAAAGTATATTGAACGCAATGTGTTTTTTTCACTTATGTGCTATTCGTTGTATTTATGTTTGATATGTTAAACTCTTCAAATAACTGTTTTATATGAAAACCTGTATGTGTCATAGTACAGAATTATCCCTGCAATAGAAAAAAATGAATGCGAAAGTATTTTGGTCATATATGTGCTTCGAGGAATATTGTCAAATGCTCTCGCCAGAATGTATTGTTAGTGCAACGAAAATAGCCAAATGACGTTCGAGAACATTCGTTCGCAAACATTTCTTTGTAGGTATATAAAGAGCTACTAAACAAAGGAAGAATTGTAATAGGATACCCACACTGTGAGCATCATGATAAAGCAGGCCTATGCTGCCCTTACCTTCGCAGCTTTGCTCAACGTTTATACCGCAAAGTATTTCAACTTTACTTTTCAAATTTATAATGTGACAAAGGTAAGCTCACATCGTGCATTTATTTGTAAAAGTGACTGCAACTTTCCTGTGTAACATTTCATACTAAATAAATAATAGTCATAGTAGAATGATAAGATATTAGCTCGTTGTCCGACTGCGGAAATACCTTACCCGAGACTGATAGTTTAAAAAAACATGAAAACTTATGCGAATTTATAGAAGTATTGTCTATGCAGTAGTGCAACTAGGACAGTAATAGCAAAGATTTTTAAACTTCAATGAGACCAGAGAGCAGTCATAGTGGACACTTTTTTATGGTTATGTAGTGTAATAGTACGTCTAAACAAATCTGACTGAGCTTTGTGAACTGACGCGGGAAGGCATAGACGCTTAAACCTTAAAACCTTGCTTTGACTTGCTTTGAATACAGCATAACTTCAGTTTTTTACTGGAGCAGTGTGTATGAATGGCCTGGTAGGTCCATTGTATAATAAAACAGCGCTCAAACATCAGGAAGACACAGAGTGCCATGTCCAAGTCTCCAACATGTCCAGTCATAAGCGCTGTATAATTCATCTTCTATTGTTATGCTAACCACGCTGAAGTAGGGAACTAATGGCGAGGCACCAAATTGATTAAATTGTGCCGAACATTGTGGTTAGGAGGTCCTATCTATTTTTGATAAGCAAGGGCTGTTTAGATTTCATCAAATCGGACTAATGGACTTTTTGTGCATTTTGTTCGCATCACCATTAAAACAGTGCGGCAAAAAGTCGAAATCACTTGTAAACCTGGATATTAGAATCCTTGATAAGCTACTAGCTTATTCACTATTTCATCAGCACAATACTGATGGATTCTTGCTTCGCTACATTGCTTTCTGACATCTCCACAAGGCAGCGAAAACAATGATTCATAGATATGTGGGGTTTAACGTCCCAAAACCACCATATGATTATGAGAGTGGCGTATGAAAGGCGTAGTGGTTAGATCATCCGCCTCGCATGCAAGAGGTCCGTGGTTCAAATCCCGGTGCCGCGCTGTTCCCAACCGTATTTTTAAAAAAAATCCGCGTGTTGATGGAACTGCATTAAGAGACCTGGGGTGCGGCCTCACCGGTAACCACCGCCGGGAACGCACTCCCTCACCAGAGAAGGATTGGCCACCCTGGTGCAGTATCTGGCCACTACCTCCCACATGCATACGTCAAATAACTCACGGTCCTCAATCCCCAGCAGCTGCGAAGCAACTGACCACGGCGGCGGTCAGATCTGCAACGCAGCAGAGGGTGCTAAGAATCTCTGGATCCAGACACGCCGCTATTGGAACCTGAACTTGGCAACGTTTAACGCTAGAACCTTATCTAGTGAGGGAAGTCTAGCTGTACTATTCGAGGAGCTAGAGGGTGTTAAATGGGATATAATAGGGCTCAGTGAGGTTAGGAGGACAAATGAGGCCTATACGGTGCTACAGAATTGGCACGTCCTTTGCTATCGGGGCTTGGCAGACAGAAGAGAACTGGGTGTGGGGTTCCTAATTCACAGAAACATAGCTGGAAACATAGAGGAATACTATAGCATTAATAGAAGGGTGGTAGGCATCGTAATTAAACTAAATAAAAGATACAAGATGAAGGTAGTACAGGCTTACGCGCCTACATCCAGCCACGATGACGCTTCAGTTGAAAGCTTCTATGAAGACCTGGAATCGGCAACGAGTAAGGTAAAAACACAGTATACTATAGTGATGGGCGACTTTAATGCAAAGGTAGGGAAGAAGCAGGCTGGAGAACAGGCAGTACGAGATTATGGCATCGGCACTAGAAACGCCAGAGGAGAGCTACTAGTAGAATTCACAGAAACGCAATAATTTACGGATTTTGAGTACCTTCTACCGAAAACGAGAAAACCGCGAGTGGACATGGAGGAGCCCTAACGGCGAAAATAAGAACGAAATAGACTTTATAATGACTGCACACCCTGGAATCGTGCACGATGTGGAAGTGGTTGACAAGGTACGATGCAGTGACCATAGAATGGTACGGTCTCGAATTCGCCTGGACTTGAAGAAGGAACGACAGAAATTGATACGCAAGAAGCCAATCAATGAGCTAGCACTGAGAGGGAAAGTACAGGAATTCAGAGTGTCGCTGCAGAACAGGTACTCGGCTCTTAGTGAGGAAACCAACCTTAGCGTAGATACAATGAATGATAATCTGATGTGTATCATTACGGAGTGTGCAGTGGAAGTTGGAGGCAGGGTAGTTAGACAGGACACTGGCAAGCTTTCCCAGGAAACGAAGAACCTAATTAAGAAGCGTCAAATCATGAAAGTGTCAAGTACAACAGACAAAACAGAACCGGCAGAGCTATCGAAGTTGATTAATAGACGTAAGGTATGCGATGTAAGAAGGTATAACATGGAGAGAATTGAACATGCTCTGAAAAACTGAGGAAGCGTCAAAGCAGTGAAGAGGAAACTTGGGATAGGCAAAAGTCGGATGCATGCACTAAGGGACAAAGAAGGCAAAATAACTACCAATATGGATAGGATAGTTAAAATAGCGGAGGAGTTTTACAGAGATCTGCAAAGTAGCTGAGACAACCACGACCTCAATACTATAAGGACTAGCAGTAACCCAGATGACACCCCACCAGTAATGATAGAAGAAGTCAGAAAAGCTTTGGGGAGCATGCAAAGAGGCAACGCTGCTGGTGAGGATCAGGTAACATCAGATCTGCTGAAAGATGGAGGACAGATTGTGTTAGAAAAACTAGCTACCCTGTTTACGAGGTGTGTCCTGACGGGAAGAGTACCAGAGTGTTCGAAGAACGCCAACATCTTAATACATAACAAAGAAGATGACAAGGACTTGAAGAATTACAGGCCGATCAGCTTGCTCTCTGTAGTGTACAAGCTACTTACAAAGGTAATTGCTAACAGAGTAAAGAAAACATTAGAATTCAATCAACCAAAGGAACAAGCAGGATTTCGAACAGGCTACTCAACAATTGACCACATTCATACTATCAATCAGGTAATAGAGAAATGCTCAGAGTATAACCAACCACTATACATAGCCTTCATAGATTACGAGAAGGCGTTCAATTCAGTAGAAATATCAGCCGTCATGCAGACACTGTGGAATCAGGGCGTAGATGAAGTATATATAAACATTCTGGAACAAATCTACAGGGGATCAACTGCTACCATAGTGCTTCATAAAGAAAGCAACAGAATACCAATCAAGAAGGGTGTAAGGCAGGGGGACACAATCTCCCCAATGCTATTTGCCGCGTGCTTACAGGAGGTTTTCAGAAGCCTAGAATGGGAACAGTTAGGGATAAGAGTTAATGGAGAATACCTTAGTAACCTGCGCTTCGCCGATGGCATTGCATTGCTGAGTAACTCAGGGGCGAATTGCAACTCATGATTACGGAGTTATACAAGGAGAGCAGAAAGTTGGGTCTTAAAATTAATATGCAGAAAACAAAAGTAATGTACAACAACCTCGGAAAAGAGCAGCGCTTCAAGATAGGTAATAGAGCACTTGAAGTTGTAAAGGCTATGTCTACTTAGGGCAGGTAATAACCGCAGAGCCGAACGACGAGATAGAAGTAACTAGAAGAATAAAAATGGGGTGGAGCACATTCGGCAAGCACTCTCAAATTATGACAGGTAGATTGCCACTATCCCTCGAGAGGAAGGTATATAACATCTATATCTTGCCGGTACTTAGCTACGGAGCAGAAACCTGGAGACTTACAAAGAGGGTTCAGCTTAAATTGAGGACGACGCAGCGAGCAATGGAAAGAAAAATGGTAGGTGTAACCTTAAAAGACAAGAAGAGAGCAGAGTGGATTAGGGGAAAAACGGGGGTTAAGGATATAATAGTTGAAATAAAAAAGAAGAAATGAACACGGGCCTGGCAGGTAGCGCGTAGACAGGATAACCGCTGGTCATTAGGGGTAACTAACTGGATTCCCAGAGAAGGGAAGCGGGTTAGGGGGAGACAGAAGGTTAGGTGGGCAGATGAGATTAAGAAATTTGCGGGTATAAATTGGCAGCAGCAAGCACAGTACCGGGTTAACGGGCGGAACATGGGAGAGGCCTTTGTCCTGCAGCGGACGTAGTCAGGCTGATGATCATGATGATGATGATGATGATGATGATGAGACGCCGTAGTGAAGGGCTCCGGAAATTTCGACCACCTGGGGTTCTTTAAAGTGCCCCCAAATCTGAGCACACGGGCCTACAACGATTCCGCCTCCATCGGAAATGCAGCCGCCGCAGCCGGAATTCGCACCCGCGACCTGCGGGTAAGCAGCCGAGTACCTTAGCCACTAGACCACCATGGCGGAGCGTGGCGAAAACAAAAACTGCGACTTTAAAAAAGTAATGCTAACAAATTATGTTAGCTTTTCATTGTGTTTTGCGTTCCTTACCATTAGCTTCATTGGTGGATAGAAAACAGACGAATAAAAACAAAATGACGCATGGGAAAAGTATAAAATAGCTCCGGTATAGCTGGTGTCTGAGAGGGCGGAAGCGATTTTTCATGTCATTGGAATTTTGTTGAAAGGTCACTGCTGAAGCAGCTAAAGCTAGCTGTAAAAGTGATACACGGAGCATGCATGGAAACTGTACTAAACTTAATGTCGTTTCTTTCTCTTAGGAAGAACTGGCGAAGTATAGTGACTAAAAGTGTTTTTATTCGAGCCACAAATTTATAAGTATGGTTAGCTGGACACTGCAAAATTTGAAGAAGAGAAATGACTATCAGCTGTGAATTACACCCCCGAAAAACAGTTTCACAAGTCTGTATACCAGTAGTAGCAATTATAAACTGCACACGTCTACAGGCCACTTCGGAACTCTGAAAAATAAAACACGCCAATATTTGGTCAAACAATGTTCGCAAATTACAAGGTATACCAAGGTATACCTTTAGATATACCCACAAAATGATATCAACCCTTCATAATTACGAATTCGAAAATTTTCACAGTTCTTTCCTGGATTGACGTTGTAGATCAGTA